CTCGCGGGCTCGTCCCAGCGGGCGAGGGCGGGACGGGGCGTCCCCTGCCTGAGCGCGCGTGCAGGGTCCCAGGGCCGTCGCTGCCCTGCCCGGCGTCGTGAGCAGGGGCAGGGGGCGGTTGGGGACCCCGCGCCCTCTGCACGCCCTCTGCGGGGCCTGGGCTGGGAGGGCAGGGCGGGCTCAGGGACCTCCGCCCGCACCTGTTTCGGGGCTGATGGAAACAGCAGAACTTGGGAACCCAGGGAGCAGGAGGTCTGAGGAGGTGGGACTCCGCCGGGGACAGAGGGCCGTGCGAGCTGGCCCTGCCTGAGGGCCCCCGGCGCGGACACAGCTTCAGGAGGCGGGAATGGGTCCGACGGCGACAGCAGCGCCTCAGGGCTGGCATCTGGCGGGGCCAGCCTGGTCTCCCGTCCCGGAGTGCCAGCGCCTGCCCACAGGGAGCCTTTCCCCTGGGCGCGGAAGGCTCGTGTGTCTTAGGGAAGAGCCAGCGCTCGCCACTGACCACTGACCACTGACGTCTCACACTCAGGTCCGCTCCTCCCACCCCTCCCTGGCGGGGCTCACCTGGGCACTGCGGCCGCTCTAGGATGACGCTGTGAGGACCCCTGCTTGCTGACCATGAGGGAGACAGACCGGGAGGCTGTGGCAACAGCCGTGCAGAGGGTTGCTGGGATGCTCCAGCGCCCTGACCAGCTGGACAAAGTGGAACAGTATCGCAGAAGGGAGGCTCGGAAGAAGGCTTCTGTGGAGGCCAGACTGAAGGTAGGAGCTGGGGGATCAAGGTTCCCTGCTTCACCCCCTGGGGTGGGGCAGTTCCCGCCCACGCCCACGGTGTATCACAGTCAGGGTCACTGAGAACGGGAAGATTGGAGACGCGGAACATCTCACTTGTGGAACAGTGTAGACGGGGACTGTGGGAAGCTGCTTGTTTACACCGTCCGCATCGGGGTCCAGCCTGCAGTGGGTGTGAGCGTGCGCCGGGAGAAAGCCGGTCTTTTTCGAGGCATGCTATGGTTGGGCTGGCTTTCAGCCTGCAGAGGAGAGGTGAAGTTTCATTAAACATGCACGTTCAGTATAATCATAAAACATCAGCATCACCCGTGGCTGCCGTGTGGCAGAACTGTTTTGGGGATTGATGAGGACCCTCTGCAGAAAGGTTGTTCTCGCACTGCCGGGCAGTGAGCTCATTGCTTCCCTGAAAGCGTGTTTGTGCCGGTGACACCAGGTCTGAAGAGGCAAGGCCTTCCAGGTACCCGTGGAGTTTAGGAACACTGAACATGGGGGTGTAGGCTTGCTGCCTTGTCTCGTCTTTCCTTTGCTGCCCACCTTCTGCAGCCCTTCTGTGGCTTCTCCCTTCTCACGCACAGCTTGCTGGGTCGTCCAGCATCCCATGGCGTGAATCCAAATCCCGAACTGTGCTGTCCAGTGTTGGGCTGCGGCCAGAGCTGAGTCTGGTTCTGGCCGGACAGCGACAGTCCCCACCCTGAGCAGATGCAGAAGTCCTGACAGTGCTCTCCACCTGGGTGAGGTCTTCAAGGACTAAAGGTGCCCAGGGAAGATGGGGGAGGGGATGCCTTTCCAAAGGTCACGTTTAAGGGGAGGCCATAGGCCGTAAGGTTGGGTGAGAAGTATCACATTTTCCCTCAGAGCTGACAGTGCATCATCGTATTTCAAGGCACGGTGGAAAGGAAAACGTGCTTGGTGATCAGTCTGGGATAGGTCATGCCACCCCAGCTCTCCTGAACTTGGCCCTGGGGGGACGTGTTTACCAGGAGGCAGTGAGAGCTGCCCGCCGCTCACCACAGCGTCTCCCTAGGCCGCCATCCAGTCGCAGCTGGACGGGGTGCGCACGGGCCTGAGCCAGCTGCACAGTGCACTGAGTGACGTCGGGGACATCCAGCAGTCACTGGCTGCTGTCAGCAGGGACTGGAGGCAGAGTATCAGTGCCGTCGAGAGCCTCCGGGATGTGAGGGACGCCGTGGCTCAGCACAGCCAACTCGCCGCCGCCGTGGAGAACCTCAAGAACATCTTTTCCGGTGAGTGGCAGCAGCTCGTGGGCATGGCCTCGGGTGTCTATTCCTAGGACCCGCTGAGGGCTCTGGCCACATGGAGGCAGCCCCGGCTTCTCGCCAGCACGCGTGCTAGGCCGTGCTCAGCGCAGTTAGCTGTGGGTGTGGGCATGGCCAGTCGAGCACATGAAGGCTGGCAGGACGGCCAAGCGGACGCTGCATGGGAAGGGTCCTGGTGCGCTCTGCTCCCGTGCTGCGCGTGCAGGAGGAGGAAAGCCCTGGCTCTGCTCAGGCTGAGCTGTGCTCTGTGCAGGGGCAGCCCTGCGTACGGGTTGGGGAGTGGGCCCCGGGTCCTGGCAGAAGCGGGGAGCAGCCGTTCCCAGGTCGGAGGACCAGGTGGGCGGGGCTCACCAGGCAGGCGCAGACTGCCTCTGGTGGCAGAGGCCCTAGGAGCGGGAAGTGCGGACTGGCTGTCTCCAAGGTAGTGCCCAGTACTGCACAGCACCCAGTACCCCCTGGGCACCATCTTCCTGCACTGGTGTTCACACAATCCCATCACATGTGCAGTACCCCTCATCTCCATGTCCAGAGCCCAACACGCTTTCAGCCCAGTACTCTGTCAGTCACCAGTATCAGTCACGCCCTAGTAGAAACCGTGGCGTGCTCTGCCCTGTCTCTGGGTTTCACGAATCCTTTCTGTCCTTTCCCATGTCGCCGAGACCTATGTCCCCACTCTGGCTCTCTCCTGCTTGCACCCCACACAGCTTGGCTCTGTCCCCACCTCTGCAATACCAGCTGCTGTTGTGCTTGGTCACAGTCTGCCCAGCTGCCCACCATGTGCCCCCAGCCTGCCTCAGTGACCTGTGTCCTGCTCAGCCCTTGCTCTGGCTCTTCTGTGACTGTGGCATGGTTGTGCACCGTTGCTTTGTGACATACCAGGCAAAACGAGGCCCAACCGTGGGGGCTGTGGTCCGAGCACAGACACTGTGGCACTGCAGATGCACGGAGGGTGCTCAGGAAGGGGCTTCTGGAGACCATGACACCCGTTGCTGGAATGGAGCCCTGCATCCGAGCCTCCCTCAGGACCCTCGCCAGTGTCTCTGTGCGGGTAGTCCTGCTCCTACAGCTTTCCTGTGGACAACCGCCTTTCCTTTCAGTCTTGTAGAACCCACACCTGATGAGCAGGGCTACATCACTGGGCTTAGCCTACTCACAGTGATGGCAAATAGCTTTCTCTCCTTGCTGAGCAAAGGATTCTACCTTGTATGTGTGTCTTTGGCTGGTAGGAGATTTTCGGTGGGAAGGTATGGTTGGTTTTCATCAGATATTTCTCTTTCCAGTAAGTCAGTCATTCTGTGTACACAGTGTCCCCTCATTTTTTTATTGTGACGAAATATTCATGACAAAATTTGCCATCTTAATGACTTCCTTTAATTGCCAAAGGGCACTTGTGCTTGTTAGAGTCAGAGAGAGAGTGGGAGAAAGCACCCCAATGGGACATGGTCAAAGCAGTCTCTTCTCCGTTTCTCCGTCAGGCTGTTCGGCATTCGTGCACATATGCCAGCCATACTTTTCAAGCCTTTAGGCTGGGACTTGAACTGCCACTAGCCACGTGGGGGCCGATTGCCTTCATCCCTTGGCTACAAGCAGCCCACCGAGGCCCTGAGTCTGTAGTTAGGTGCCTCCGTAGTGAGTGCAGCCCCCGTCTGTCTCCAGCCCTCGTCCTCGTGTAGGAGGAAGCTCTGTCCCAGCAAGCCGGTTCTCCATCCCCTTTCCCTCACCCCAGCTCTGATTCTGTAAGGTGCTCTACAGAATGTGGGGTTAAATGTTCGAAGTTACAGTGTTACCAGCTCTTAGACTAGTTACTATTTTCTAAAGTGTTAGTCTCTTAAACCTTGGGAAAAGCAAAAGGTCGAATGAAAGAGCTGAGCTGTAGTGGTAACTGATTGTATAATCGCTCACTTAGTTACCTTTATGAGCTCCTCACTTCTTCCCAGGCTTCAAGTTACATCCTCAGGGTCTCACGTGGACCTGCTAGACTCTGAGCATGCTTTGCAGGACAGGTCTAGCGTCTCCCTTACCTACGGGACCATAGGTGAGTCTTCATTTCTCACAGTGCGGGATGACAGTTCTATGGGAGTAGGCTTTTGGTCGACACTGTCTTTTGGCATCTCAAGTACTTCAACCTTCTGGCCCCCTGAGTGTTCTATGAGAAACCTGGTGATCTTGGGCAGAGTCCCCACTTTCAGAATTCTCACTATTGTCTTTCAGAAGCCTGATTATTTTGTGTCTTAGTGTGGGTCTGCTTAAGTTCCTTATTTGGAATTTGTTGAGCTTCCGAGATGTTTGTGCTTACATTTCAATTAAATTTGGGGTGTTTTCAGCCATTCTTCTGCCCCTTTCTTCTTTTGGAATCCCACTTTGCATGGGTCGGTCTGCTTCGTGGTACTTGCCAAGCCCCTGGTGCCTTGTTCGCTTTCGGTCTTGCTTTACTTCCCCGGTGTTTGGTGATTCCACTGTGCTGTCTCCACACCCGCTGGTTTTCCTCCACACTCAGAGCTGCCTGAGACCCTCCAGTGCACCTCCACCTCAGCACGGGACTTCCCAGGTCTGCATTTTCTTTCTGGTTCCTTTTCAGGTTTTCTGTCTGTTGTAATTTCCATTGTTTCATGCATCATTTCCTTTACTTTCTGGACACCTTTCCTTAGTTCTTTGTTTATCTTCTTTGTTTTTTTTTTTTGTTTTTAGGAAAGGTATGCTCATGGGGATGGGGGGTGGCCATGCTGCAATCCCTTCTCCTCTGTTTTTCTCCTGGGACTTTGGGCAGGCACACACACACACCTGGTATGAATTTCAAGCCACCCGTTTCCGGTGTTGAGCTGTGTTGGCTGTGTGGAATCCGGCATGCTAACCCCGTGCCACTTGCTGGCCCTTCTTTGGGCATCTTTAAGACTATCATTTTAAAGGCTTTGTCTGGCAGATATGCCGTCAGGACTTTTTCAGGGACAGACTTTATTGTTTCATTTTTTTCCCTATATTTTTCTTTATATGCCTGTGATTATTTGTTGTCATTGAAAATTAGACATTTGAATCTAATAATGTATCTCTGGAAATCAGATTCCTCCCCCTTCTCCAGGTTACGCTGAGTTGTGTTTTTGTTTTGTTTTGCTTTTAGGTTTATTTACTTCTTACATGAGGAAGACAGACCTGAGAGAGAAAAACACATTCCTGGGGGGGTCTCATGTCTCAGCCACCGCAGATTGCCGTGTGGTTTCAGCCTTGGGGGGTAGTG